TTATGATCTTAAACAAGCTTTCAGATAATGGTATATAAAGTTTAATGATACTATTACATCTTTCAGATTTAAGAAAAATGTTGTTGATTAATGCATATATCTAAAAATTAGTGGGAACAAGTTTAGATTTTTTATACTATATATGAATGATATTTTGTCAGCTAGTAGTGATCTTGGTTTGTTATACGAAATCAAGAAATATCTCTCTAAAAATTTTTAGATGGTTGATATGGGTGAGATAACTTATGTTTTTGGAATAAAAATCTTCAGAAATCATTCTCAAAGATTATTAGGTTTATTTTAGAAATGATATATTAACCGAGTTTTAGAGAGATTTAATATGCAGTTATGTTCAGCTAGTGTTGCACTCATTCTTAAGGATGACAAATTAAGTAAAAGTCAGTTCTCAAGAAATGACTTAGAAACGGAACAGATTAACAAAATACCCTATGCATCTATTGTAGAAAGTTTGATGTACACTCAAATATGTACAAGAGCAGATATCAGCTATGTTGTTGGTATGTTGGATCTATCAAAGTGATCCAGAAATTGAATACTGAAAAACTGCAAAAAAAGTTATGAGATATCTTCAAAGGACAAAAAATTATATGCTCACATACAAAAGATCAGAATGATTAGAGGTGATTGGATACTCGAACTTAGATTATGGTGGTTGTCATGATAGCTTAAAGTCTACTTTAGGTTTTGTCTTTATGCTAGCAAATGGAGTAATTTCGTGGAAGAGTGTATAACAGTCTATTACTACCTCATCCATAATGGAGGCTGAGTTTATAACATGTTTTGAAGCCTCAAGTCATGCTTTGTGATTGTCGAATTTCATTTTAGAACTTTGTGTTGTTGACTTTATTACCAAGCCCCTGAGAATATTTTGTGATAATACTGTAGTTGTTTTCTTCTCTAAGAATGATAAATCTTATAATGGATCCAAATACATGGACTTAAAGTATTTAGTTGTTAGAGAAAGAGTCTAGAAACAATAAGTGTCGATTAAAAATATTAGTACTACACCTACAATTACTGATCCATTGACTAAAGGGCTACCTCCAAAGACATGTAGAACATGTTGTAAGATTAAGTCTTTTGAGTAATCTATATTATTATGATGGATGTTTTAGTGATTGAATAATTGACATTTTGTGGATAAAAATTTGTTTATGTTATTTCTTATTTTTTAATAATGGGTGCACAATTTAGTATATAATCAACAGGAAATGTCTTGACAAGACAAATTATAGAGGCTATTTTAGCATTATGGACTGAATTAATAAAGGTTATTAGTGTGGATGCATAGAAGAAAATGTGACATTGAAGTTATGTGACCGCTATGATTCACATTTATTATTTAAGTTATTTCAGTATTATGGTATAATAATTTTGAGCTTGTTGGCTGATTTTATTGTAATCATATATCAAATTCATTTCACCAATAAATATATTTTAGTATAAAATATATATATATATTGTAGTTTTCATAATCAATTTTTTGGGTTAAGTCGGAGAATGTTAATTTTAATAATTAAGTTGATGACCCACTAACTTAGTGTTTTATTTTCTCATCACTTATAATAGTTAAAGCCAACTTAAATGACACACAAAATAATAGATAATCATTATAAAAAAAATTTACCTTGATGGAGTGAGTAACCTTAAAATATATTAATTGTATTTTATGTGTATTAAACTACAATAATAGAAACAGTTATCAACATATTCAATTATCTTGAATGTATTTTGGCTTCTCCTCTCATCTATAAAAGGAGCACAAATTTCATTTTCACGTTGTCTTCCATCAACTTAAGATACAAAATTTTGTAGATAATAGTTAGATAGAGACAAGAAGTGAGTCAAAAAATTAAGAATTTTTTTTAAAGAATCTCTCAATTGCACTCTGGCGGCATCATCTCATAATGGTATGCAGTTCTAACTTTCTGTTGCCTTTCTTTTCTTAAGATATATTGAATTCAATAAATATATGACTTCTGCATAATAGTTTCTTACAACTACGCTATTAATAATAATATAATAATTTTAAATTAGTGTGCTCTGGTCATGCTTTGATAAGAAGGGGTTGTGACACTCAGGATTCCTATGCTAGCTCTCCTATATTCAATGCTCGACGCTCTTTTGATCAATGGTTTCACACATAAATATTCTTTTTGCATTAAGATGTGTGTAAAAGTCATATGTATTATATATTTTTACTAAAACGAATGAATGCACAACCTTATGTATGATGCATCCTCATAAAAGAAAAAAAAAAGAACTAATTCTTTATAAATTTTTATGTGTGTTAAGTTTTATTAATTTTTGTTTACTTGTTACTAATTGTTTGATGTATAAATAATTTTGAATTAGGTCTTTAATGTTAATTTTTAATTGATTTTTAATTTAAAAATTAGTTCAATAAGTTCAAATAGGAAAATGTAGTTTAGATCGACCATGTAGCATTTGTGGTTTCGGTTCGATGTAGACCACCCCTGATCATTAAGCCATTTGTTTGAGTTCTACTATAGACTAGATAATTAGAAAAATAGTTTTTTAAATCTCGAATCTTAGCAGAAAATTTTCAAGGATATAATGTTAATGGATTTGTGATAGTTATAAGAGATAACATAGGTTGGTCTTGGATCGGTTTTGTCAAAAAATCTTCAAAATTGACTTAGTCTATTGAAATTGTATAATTAATCGAGCC